ACTGCAAGTAGAACCCTTCCCTCCTGCTCAATTAAATTTTTTGAGTTTATACGCGCTTTTGGTGGCATGGTGGCGGGTTGAATTACTTCAGCTTTTGAAATGGCAGTCAAAACGCGTTGGGTGATCCGCTCGGTTGCGTGATCCGCTCGCTTACCGATTACGTTATCTTCAACTTATGAATTAGGTAATCCTCATACATCTTCAATGTGGATAGGTAGTGAATCTACTGTGCGGGCGGTGAACCAATCATTCCAATCAGTCCAGCCAAGCGGAGAAAACTGAATGCCAAGATTTCAACACCCACCTAAATTTTTCGAGGTATCGCAGCTTTTGCTGACGACTTTGACCGACCGCTTCTGGACACCAGCAAGACAAAGCAACGTCCGATTATTGCAACGTGATCGCTCGTTTCTATAATTCGATAGACTGCGGTCCGGTCATCGAAGTCAAGATGGATGATATCGAGGTATGTGGTTCCTGAAGCTTCGTAAGCCCCGCGCTCACGACGCTTGGGAAACTGACAACCTTTTTTATCAGGAACGGTTGCGAAGCCATGCTCAGGCCTTCGACGGCCTTCTGTCTTTGATTCCTGCGAAGTACTATTACGGTGAAGATGGCAGTGTACGTGATCCATCATGATTGATCCCGTTCTCTCCAGCCAGGAAAGAAATTCCTGCTTCTTTCTCTCCGTTTTGGCTTGAATGCTCCCCGGCCGTGGTTAACCATAATTCCTCCTCTAGGACCAATGGCAACGGAAGAAACAGACCAAGGAGCAAGCCCGCGAAGCCAAACGTGCGAAATTGGACCCCGAATCTGCCAAAACGGCCAAGGATGTAATGGACGAGAATGCACGGAAGCGTAAACGGAACGAGGAGCAGAATGGGACCGACTCATCCGGGGAAGAAGAGCTGGGCTCTGAACTTCCAAAGGAAGGACTAAAGAGAGGCGATGCCAAATCGAAGAAGCAGAAGCAGGCCACTACAGAGCAGTCGGAGGATACGGCGGCCAAACTGGAGGAAGCCGAAGCGCGCAAGAAGTTAAGAGAGGAGAAGAAGGCACAGAAGAAGGCCGCTCAGAAAGAGAAGAAAAAGGCCAAGGAAGTTGCCAAGAAAGAGAAACAAAGTGAAAATCCCGAGTCGAAGCCGGCGAGCGATAAAGCAGAAGAGCAGAAGCCTTCCAAGGTAGAAGACAGCGATGATGAGATTGAGCAAGAAGGTGCTGTTCCTGAGGAAGGCCTCTCACTCGAATTTAACTCCGAGCCCGCAGAACAGCCATCCTCTCCATCCTCAGCACCCAACTCTCCCGGGTTTGATGCCTCAAATGACCACTCCGGCAGCTCTTCCATATCTTCCATCGCCCCTCCTACTGCTTCCACTGACGCCAACGACGCCTCCCAAAAATCATCATCTGATCCCAAGCCTCTCAAGCCGACCCCGGAAGAGTTGAAACAGCGCTTACAAAAGCGTTTGGACGAGCTGCGTGCCGCCCGGCATGCCGACGGATTCGACGGCAAGCCCGCACGAAACCGCCAGGAGCTGATCGAGGCTCGGCGGCAAAAAGCCGAGCAGCGCAAGGCACACAAGAAACTGCTGCGACAGAAAGCCAGGGAAGAAGAGCAGCGCGCCAAAGACGAGGCCATGGCCAAGCGCTTCTCCCCCGGTGGCTCCGGCTCGCTTCTTGCGTCGCCGCGGTCCCCTGCAGACTCGATCGGCTCGAACGTCAACTACTCATTCGGCCGGGTGGTGTTCGGCGACGGCCAGCAGGCCGACCCCAGTCTGATGAACGTACGGGAACAGCCAAAGCGCCATGGGCCCCAGGACCCCGCCACGGCACTCAAGGCGGCAGAGGCAAAGAAGGCCCGCCTGGCCGAGATGGACGAGGAGAAGCGTGCGGATATCGAACAGAAGGACATGTGGCTGAATGCCAAGAAGCGGGCGCACGGGGAACGCGTCCGTGACGACACCTCGCTCCTCAAGAAGGCGCTGAAGCGGAAGGAGTCCGCGAAGAAGAAGTCCGAGCGGGAATGGAAGGAGCGTCTTGACGCCGTCAAGAAGGGCAAGGACGCGCGTCAGCAGAAGCGCGAGGATAATCTCCGCAAGCGACGCGAGGAGAAGGGCAACAAGGGCAAGAAACCTACCGGCGGCAAGAAGAAGGCCAGACCTGGGTTTGAGGGAAGCTTCAAAGCCAAGGTGGGTGGAAAGAAATGAAGGAAAAGTCATTCGAGGTGATGGACCCGGAGTTGTGTGTATCTATGACAGACAGCCCTGTCAAAAAAGCAAGGGAAAGAAACTGAGTGTGGGATCTGGAGAACTGGTGTTTGGGGTCTTTTGGGAAATGCTTCGTTCATGTTGTGCATGTATGCATAGGCAGCGATTTGTTCGTGCAAATATCAGGGCTTTTTTGTCTTTTCATTTATTTTCCTACATTGGTGGAGCATATATATTTAATGCCTTCAGATGACTACTGCTATTGAGGAAGACTAGAAGACCCCACGCAGCACAGGCTGGACAGATACCATGTTGATACAAATGAAAAGTGAATTGTTTAATTGACTCATTAGCAGAACAGCAGAAGAAATAACAAAGACAGGCCAGGATTCCCTCCGACATCACGACAAAGACAAAAACAGGAACGCCATATTTTGGCGACTCGAAAACTCCTATGAGCCTGAACAGTATATGCGGGATAACGCAGGCGGAGGATCCGTTTATGTACAAGGCGGAGAGGCAAAAGGTGCGACTTCCATAAAGGAGTCAGTACCTTTGCTATCTTCATGGATGGAAACTTTTTTCCGTCACTCTAATTTTGTGATTTCTGATCTCTCGGCAAGGATCGCTAGAGTACAATAGCCAAGCGTAGAAAAGGTCCTCATGAATGAAAAGGAAAAGAAATCGATAGCGCCCTACCGGTAGGGGGCATCGGCTCTAGCGGCTGCGGCAATCTCTGGCTCCCACTTGTCACCGTTAGCCAGAAGCTTCTCCTTGTTGTACAACAACTCTTCTCGGGTCTCAGTGGCGTATTCCGCGTTGGAGGCTGCGCATATCATGTTAGCTACGGGGTTACACTAATCAACCTGTCGGATCAACTTACTCTCAACAATAGCATCAACAGGGCAACTCTCCTGGCAGTAACCACAGTAGATGCACTTGGTCATATCAATGTCATATCTGGTTGTCCGACGGCTTCCGTCCTCACGTTCCTCGGCCTCGATGGTAATGGCCTGAGCGGGGCAAATGGCCTCACAGAGCTTGCAAGCGATGCAACGCTCCTCACCAGTGGGATAGCGGCGCAGAGCATGTTCACCACGGAAACGGGGGGAGATGGGACCCTTCTCGAAGGGGTAGAAGATGGTGTAACTATAATTTAGAAATTGAACTTAGCCCACGACTCCCCGAATTGCTCAAAAATGAACCATGATGTACAGCCAGAATTGTGGAAAACAGGATCTGGGACTGTACGAAGATTGATGATGCGAAGATTGGCCAGAAAAACTTACGGTGGTCTGAAAAACTGCTCCAGCACCACGTACATGCCCCGGAACAATTCAGCCATCAGGAAGTACTTGCTGGCCTTGTCCAGCGAAGACTCGGGATCCTGATCCCATTTTCTCGGCGCAGGTAAACGGAATCCAGGCTGAGGAGGACCCGCTGGTGTAGCAGCTCTGGACACCGAGGAGGAGAAGTTTGCGGTTGAGCCCAAGGGCGAAAGACGGAGAGAAGAAGCCAACAGGTAGGGCGTAGGCCGACGGTAGGCGACCAGCCTCGCAACAGATGTCGAGGAGGCCATTGCGACGGTTGTAGAGAAGCAGAGTAGGGAGGAGAAAAGATGACGAGGAGAGCGAGGGCCCGGTTGAGGGTAGAAAGGGTTCAATGCCAGCAAGATATGAGGTTTCGACTGTCTTTTGGTGGTTTGGAGCAACGGGGGCTTAGGTCATTCCTTTCTGCCGCCCGCTGATTGGCCGCCGGCAGGATTTTGCTTCCCGAGCCGCAAGCGCAAAGCAAAAGAAACCTCCATCTCTGACCTCGAAAGCAAGTGTCAGGTTCCCTGGGTATCTATCAATCCTCCTTGACGCACCGTCTCGTCCATTTCTTTTTCTATATTCTCTTGTTTCAATAATCTATCCCTTAGTCGGGTCTTACTTCGTCAGGCAATTTGCCCTTCCCCCCACTCTTACCACAGTCACCATGTTCCGTTCCGCTGTCGTCCGCTCGTTGAGAGCCTCCGTTCCCCGTGCTGTCAGGACTCCTGTTGCCTTCCAGATCCGTAGCTCTCCTGTTGCTCGTCCTGCTCAATTCGCCCCTCGCTTTGCTTACCAGGGTGTCCGCCTCTACTCCGCCCCCGCTGGTCTGAACAAGGAGGAGGTCGAGGGCCGGATAGTCAACCTGTTGAAGAACTTTGACAAGGTTCGTTCACTGACTTCTTTTCCCTTACTCTAAAGTGATCCGTCGAACGGGACAGCAAAAACATCTCCATGATGGTGTTCGAGTACAGAATTACTGACGCAATTGATGATGTATAGGTCTCCGATGCCAGCAAGGTTCGTTGTCGCCGTTTATGCCCGCTGATGCTATGGGCCGGCTACCCCTTCAATCTTCAAACTTCGAAGGGAGCAAAGATTGATCATATGGACGAAGTCTAACTTGAACAGATCAACGGTTCTTCCCACTTCTCGAATGACCTCGGTCTGGACAGCCTGGATACTGTTGAGGTTGTGATGGCAATCGAGGAGGTATGAGTTACCGGGCGATTTGCGAGAAGACCATTATATTAACGAGTCTATCAACAGGAGTTCAGCATTGAGATCCCCGACAAGGAGGCCGACACCATCCACAGCGGTAAGTACACTCGGACAGCCCTTAGGAGGTCGCTCATCAAAGTTCATCTACTTATTCATTCGAATAGTTGACAAGGCTGTTGAGTACATCCTTGCTCAGCCTGATGGTAAGTTTAACGTTCGAAAATAAGAGATCCTCGAGGTTGACGCTAATGATGATTTAGCCCACTAGAGACGTTAATACTACCATTGGGGAATAGGTTGGAGGGTCCGATAGAAAAGAAAAGGGCTGTGAGCGTGCATCTGCCAGTAATCCCCAGAGTTGGAATCCCCTGGCCATCATGGACGCTGCTTTGTATGCTGATACATGCCGGTGCTTTTTCACCCTTCTATATCGTGTATATCACCTTTGAATGCAAATTTGGCCAATCTACTACTGCTCCGTAGATCAGAAACACATCTGAGAAGATGATTGTTTTCTTTACACATCATTAAGGCGAGAGTACTCTGTTAGCTTCATCTTTCTACCTGTGTCCGTCCCATTCATAGGGTGACGTGTACCCTGTTAGGCTGTGGCATGGTTTCTGTATGGAATATTATGGTATTGCATTCCATGGGGTCAACCGTTCCTTAAGACTGGGACAAATAAATTTCTCTGCCCAAGAATTAATTGGGTTCGCATATCTAATATGACAAGTTAATTTAAATCATGCCAGTTATCTAGTCTATCTATATTGCTGAGGTTCAAGATCGGATGGTAACATGGTGCGGCTTTGATCCGTAACCGGCGAAGCGCTAACAAGCCAGCAGCAGTTAGTGAGAAAGATTAAGGAAATGTTATTTCTGAGACGACCATGATCGTTTAAATCATCATCAGGCACAGGAACTTCAATTCTGTGTTTACTTGAGTATCAACACAGCATATTGATTTTTGTCACCGTGATATACCTCCTAACCATCCTCTGACTCGTCCCTGTGATTCTCTTATCCTCCTCCTCTTGTCTTCCGTGGTCTCTTTGATCTCTCACTCTCCTTGTGCTCTGCGCTCCACCACCCCTGACAATTAATCTCCCACCCAGGAAATCCGTGAGATAATCGCCAAACTCCTCTTCTCGATTTCTCTTCAGTTTCAGTTCTGCTCCAACTCCGATCTAGAAGTATCACCACCTGCTCCCCACGGTCGACCACTCATCATCACCACCTGCTCATCTAGTTCCCCGCTTTCGGTCACCGTCCTATATCTCGACATCCTCATGGCCTCAGCCGGGGGCTTGACTCGCCGGAGAGGTGGCGGTCGAGTCGCTGGCGGAGATGACAACGATGATAGCAGAGTGTCCTCCCCGGTATCTAGAAATGGCTCCGCACTTGACCATCGCGGACCCGAGGCAGCCTCGTTCACAAGCTCTGAGAATGGCCACAAGATCGCGTTCGATCCCCGGGATCTGAGCGAGACCGAAGAGCGAAGCAAGCAGCCCAAATTGACCTTGATGGAAGAAGTGCTGCTACTGGGGTTGAAGGATAAACAGGTCAGTGTTGAATTGAAAACATTGCCACCAGCTCCATGAGCCGCTTGTGCGCATTGACGAGGCAATGCTGACATGCGATTTTGCGCTCTGTTAGGGATACCTTTCTTTCTGGAACGAAAACATTTCCTATGCTCTTCGGGGTTGCATTGTCATCGAGCTGGCTCTCCGCGGTCGCATCAGCATGCAAAAGGACTCTTCCCGGCGACGGTTCCCTCTCGCAGATCGCGTAATCGAAGTCATCGATGATACCTTGACGGGTGAGGTCTTGCTGGACGAGGCATTAAAGATGATGAAGTCGAGCGAGAAGATGAGCGTGAATTCGTGGATTGACCTAATGAGCGGTGCGTGCAAAGACTCTGGCCACTGAAATTCTGACATGTTTACGGAAGAGAAGACGTGCAGCTGATGCCTCCGTCTAGGTGAAACGTGGAACTTGATGAAGATTGGGTATCAACTCAAACAGGTCCGCGAACGTCTTGCCAAGGGTCTCGTCGACAAAGGCATTCTCCGTACCGAAAAACGCAACTTCCTCCTCTTTGACATGGCCACACACCCAGTCGCCGACGGAGGCGCCAAAGATGACCTTCATCGCCGTGTCCGCAACGTTTGTAGCAGTCGCACCGTGATCCTGCCGGCCAACCAATGGCTCCCTGAAGATGCTGAGTTCCGGTATCTTCGAACTGTCACCATGGTTTGCGCGGCCTATGCGGCCAACGTGTTGGAAAATGCACTCGTTACAATGAGCCACGAGGCGAGAGAGAGGGCTTTTGCACAGGTTGATGAGTTGCTGGCAGAATATTCCCAATGGCCGTTCGCTCGGAGACCGGGTGGTTCACAGGCGATTGGTGCCAACCTGGCACAGGCCATCAACGACGAGGTCAATAAAGCTAAAGATCGAGAACTTCAGTTGGAGGTATGTTTTGTCACTCTATTTATGGTGCCACGGAAGCTGATCTGCAAACCTGTATAGATTGTCGCTGCATGTTTGAGCGTGTTTACCAGACTTGATTCCTTACTGTAGCAGTAACTGTCCTGCTATTTTGTTATACCGGTATGCAGGTTTTCAACCGCTATCAATCTAATTTTTCCATTCTTTGCTTCCCTCTTTTCCATTTCACGTCTTCTATCGATTTCTCACAGAACATAGCACGCAGAGAGACTTGTGGATCGATCTCATGCAGTTTTTTTTTTTTTTTCTTTTCAGCACGCCGGTCGAGACCGGACGGAGATGTCCTTCATCTTTGCTTCCTTGAATGCGTTATCCATTGGGTCGTTCGAATCCCAAAAACTCTCCATCTCTTCGGAGCTTCTTGTACCTGTTTTCTTCTTTTCCTATTCGCGTTTCGTTCGGGAAGAGGGAGGGGCTGTCTTGCGGTGGCAGGACAGAGCATCACCATGCACAATATACGAATCTTATGGGCCATGCGCAGTCCATCAATAGCCTCGGTCCGTCTCGACAGGTCGATCGCTGAAGCATCAACGCGCTCCAACACTGAAGACTCAGCAAGCAAATGGAGACAGTTGGGAGTGCGGAACGTCCATTGTCTAGCGGCTTTTGCGTGCTTCATCGCCCTGGGAACCTTTCTCAGGCAAGTTTATGAGGCTTGTGCCAACCACACTACTTTACCTACTTTTACTTCAAAACATGTGTTTATCTTGAGACTACCATTTTCGATTCGAAGTGTTCCGATTATTGTTGAGTGCCAAGTACCCTTCTTGTCCAACTAGTTGTCATAGATTGACGCAAGTTCCATTAGAGTACCTGAAATATGAGGTTAAAACTAAAAGGGCATGCTCGTACGCTCCAATGCAAATTGTGTCCTTACCCTCGTATACTGACCTCAAACAAATGACACCATACTGATTGCTGTGACAGAAACGAAAAATCCATGGCCAGAATATGCAAATAATGGTATACACCATCTATGGGTTAACCCGGAATACCATCACGCCTCCTCGCCTCCCTCCACCCGCGCCCGCAGCGCCCGCAGCTAGCATATCTGCCCCGTTGACTAGATCCGTGATGCTCTCCACCCGACCGCCGACGCTATGTTCCTCGACCAACCTCGCAATGTGCGCGAGCGCCAGCCCGTCCGGCTCTACAGAGATCAACCGGCTCAAGGGGCCTTTCTTCTTCGAGCCGTTACTGGTCTGCGTATCTTCCTCGGACCGCCCGTTCTGAGCCGGCGTGGAGTCGACGGCGGTCAAGACGGCGCCATGTTCCTTGACCACGGCTGGCGAGTGGGCTTGCTGGAACATCTCTTCGCCCGCGCAGTCGACGACGATTTCCACGGGCTCCCACTTGTTCTGCTTGAAGGTTGTGGCCAGGTCCCAGTCGGCCGGCAACGGGAGGGCGGCGACGATGTACTCGTCCACCTGGAAGTGGTCGCGGAGGGATGTCCCCTGTTCTTCGTTGTCGCAGGTTACGCAGATCCAGGGGCGATAGTGCGGGAACAAGGACGGGGACCGCAGCAGTTGAAGCACCTGGATGCCAACCTCGCTGTTGCGGGCGTTTGTGACGAGCACGCGCAGGCTACGCCGGACGTCGTTTGTGTTGGTGGGATCCAGTTTGCCGTAGGTGAAGAGGGCTTGCCATGCGGTGAGGGCGGGTAAGGGGATCGTCGCTGCCTCTGCGGCGCTGATGTTCCTGGGCTTGAATGCGAGCTCGTCTTCCGTTGCGACGACGTAATCGGCTGCGGCGCCGTCCCGGGTGTGACTGATCAGACCGAAGACGACGTCGTCGACTTTGAACTTGGGGCCGGATGGGTGCCAGTGGTCTTCAACCGGGGTGCTGATGATTGTGCCGCAGAGATTGTGGAGGGGAATCTGAGGGATGGATTTTCTCGGGTTGAGCACCTTCGCCAGTCGCAGCTCGTCGTGCGAGAAGGCCGCCGTTTGGACTTTGATGAGATATTGGTTCGGTGACGGCATGGGTGTGGGGAAGTCGGTATCGAAGATCAAGGCTGGCTCAGGGCAATCCACAGCCGTCGCATCGTGGCTGTGGGTGTCGCTCGGGCTGTAGTAAAGGGCCCTCATCGTGCTCGGGATGAACGTTTGTTCATCCATAGTAGCGGAGGCTGGCTTTGCTGGCTTCATGTCTTTAGGTAAAGCTTCCGTTGAGTTCAAAATAACCATTCATTTATTGGATCTCTTGACAGTTTGAAGACGCTTCTTCTAGGTCAATGAGCGTCCGAGCAAGCTTGAGGTGTTGGAGTTCCACAGGGACTTTGCAACACAGGCAGCTCTGGTGTATTCACTTCGGAAAATAAACGCCTCGTGAAGGGAGATGTCTTACAGCAGAAAATTTGACTTTTTTAGCTACCAAAAACAATAATCTGCTGGAAGCGCTGCGGAGCGAGACTGCATCGGACTGTAGACTTCGATGATGCGGATGTCCTCATGTTGACGTAACTGCGCTGATATCAGCAACTCTCTCAGTAATTATCGGAAAATATGACATACCAGAGTGATAAAAGAGCCTGATATTAGCCATGGATCCCGCAGGCAATACGCGGAATGGTTCCTCGTTCTGGTGCACCAATCGCACAATCGCGCAGCTGTTCCTTCTCTACCGCGAGCAACCTATAGTATGGACTGAGAAAGTCGGTCCACGACCTGATATACTTCTTCAGGCTCTTCAAAGACTGTCCATACATTTTCCGGTATTTCCTTGAATGCAGTCCTGAACCGTTCTGGAGAATTCTTTCCTTCCAAGTGTGGGACATCTGTGACCTTACGGATCAGAATGGCCTTCACCCAGGTCGGGTGCCGTCTGTAGATTTCTGCGTAAGCCTCTGGATCCTTCTGCGTAGAGTCACCAATGCAGAGTACTTGTCTCTTCGGAAAAGATCGGTGCAACCTTTCCATGTTGTTCACTTTATACTCCATGGTGTATGTAGTAAAGGATCGAATAAACGAACCGACATCCATCCAGGAAGATTCACGAAGCATCAATGTGCCTGGAGTGAAATAGGTGTAGATGAACTCGCGGAGAAAAGGATACAGATTGTATGGTGACGCTGATAGATAGAACCACATTGGTACTAGTTGTCTTTGTATGTGGAAGTAGAGCTGGGGCGTTCCTCGAATGGGGCGCGCTGACTCGACAAAAGTAGTCCGTAAGATTCCAGTGGGTTCTGAAGTCATTGTATATTTGATAGTGTCATCTATATCGGAAATCAGAAGCCAACCTTCGGGACCAGCGAAGACCGTGTCCATGGACACCTCACCCTCCCAGCCCCGGAGGTACGACCGTATCCTGGTACCATCCGCAAGATGGCGCGAGCACAAATCCACGGTCTGGCTGCTGATACCGTTGCTGTCCGTGGGACCAATTTGACGGAGCTGTATAGAGTCATCTGATAATGGGATCTCGATGACCATCGTATGTGCAGGTGCTGTCTGGTACAAGAATGGCCGCAGTCGACGTGTTATTTTATGACGGGTCTCTCGCTCAGTGCCTATCTCCCCATCGAGACCAATGAGATCCGCTATCGTTGCGACAAACTTGCTGGTATCCTTCCGACTGTCCTTTTCAAACACGCAGGCGACAACTTCGACACGCCATGCCGGACGTCCTTGCCCAAGCGATTTGGGAGTGACACGTTGATAGGCTGTATTATCGAACAGCCACACAGTATGCTGGCGAGCATTTGCTATTTGTAATGAAGCCTGCTTCCAAAGAATAGAGCTGATGAATTTCAGCATCTTGAAATTCCTCCTGGTCTTAGAGCGAGGTTTGTGTTCTTGATTTTGGATGATCAGGGATCTCTCCCCTGCTGTAGCAGAACTCATCGTTGCGGCGCTTTGCTTCGACTCAACTTCCGACAGGTACAGCCAGGACCTCGAGGCAAAAGTTCGTCAAGGAAAATGCAATCCACAAGAGACGGATTATATAGAGAACTCATGACTCACAATAACCACACAGCCTCGTAAGAAACGGAAAGAGTCATCAGGCTTTCTTCGAATTCAGCTGGGGATTTTGTCTTTATATCATTTGGGGACTTAGTCCTCCTGATCTTTGAACACACGCCATCGTATTGAACTTATAGTCACTGGCAATGACTTTTCTGGAAGCACGTGTGGCAATGATCACAATGGTTCCCATGTTTGACTAGTCAGAGGAGCAAGGCGAGATAGCTGAATATCCGTCTGCGGTAACATTCGATTGTCATCGTAGTTCGTGAAGAGCTCTTGGCGTCAGGGGCAACGATGTCAGCCTGGTGATGCTTGTGACCATCCAGTATCAGCGGTCTCTTTCTCCGCGCCTGACCTCGAAGATTGACTCAATCATCGGATCATCGTCGAATCAGAGCATTCAGTGAAAGGCATCAGAAGGCTAGGGCAGAGCGCAAGAGGTAAACACGAAGGCGCGATCATGCTCGTCATCAATAGCCATTTATGTGACCAGAACTGAACCATGGTATTCCTTCAGGAGCTGTTTAGGGCTGTTAATAAAACAAAGAGGAAGAAAATGACATGAGAATAGCTGTGTGAGTGACGCAGCTTCCTCTAAGTTGACTATGGCACACAGGGGCAAGAAAGATGTCCTCGCTCGCCTGAGGGTATTCATCGATGTGGGTCAGTGCGTCTCCCTTTTATCACATTGAAGGACGCCTGATTTGAGGCAACAGATCTACTCTCAAAATGAGTAAGAAATTCTGAAAATCTTGACCCTGTCAAGGTTATTTGATAATGTGCTGCGATGTGGTGGCTGGAAAGAGAAAGAGAAAGATCAACGAACAATAATCAGCTGCAAAGGAGACGAGGGGGAACCTCTGTTCGGCATCAACCCTTGAATTTCCCCCTCGCTAGCCAATTATTACTGCTCCTTTGACATTTCCCACCTCTCTCATCATGGTCTCAGCTCTACCGGATTTAGATGTGCCCTTGCTTCTCTCAGTTTGACCGACAGGTCCAAGGGACCAAGACGCTTCAGGCTTTCTCTTGAAACTCATTCGATCTCACCCTTTGCTTCGGGTTCTAGGAAATCTAAGGCTCAGCTTCACTGATGATGTCGAAACAAGACGAAATTCCCACGAGGATAGTCGCCCTTGCATCATGTCGCTTTTCAAACAGAGACAGGAGGTCCTAATGCCTTTTGGTGACGACATCGTCATCCCTTATATTGATCAAAGCGCCCGAGTCCTATCCGAAGGTCTTTTAAATATGCAGATTCTTAGCCTTATAAATAACTGCTTGCTCGATGCTGATATCCTAGCTGTACAGTTTCGAGATACGTACCATGACTTGCCTTTCGAACCGTCACACAATGAAGCTCACCGTTGGAGAGATGCCTTCTACCAGGACCTCTCAGCCGCGTTGTACTTCATCAAAGAGGTACACATCAAAATATGATAACACGCGCGAGCTCCCAAGCTATGCTTTAGCCAACCCTTTCATATACCGAACATCCGACCATTCATTCACCCACTCGTGGGAAACTCATCGACTTGTTACTTGTCCGCGTTGCAATTCGGTCCATGGCCACCACTGGAGAGAGACAATGTCATCCACCATGTCTCATCGGCGAGGACTTAATACCACTTACCTGTCCGTACCGAGTGTCTGAGGAACCTCTGTCAACATACCGGCAATCTGAGGCAATTTACTTTCTCCATTGCCCTTGAGCGGGCTGGTTGCGGCACACTTGAGCACGAGATGCAGAACAGGGTCGAAAGGAGCGGACGACTCGACGCGTACGAGCGGATTCTGAGCCAAAGATGCATGAACAACCACAGTCGTATTGCGGATTCCATGCTACCCTCTCCATTAGCTGTCAAGATGGATTGGTGACCTGATCGAATGCTCCAGGGCTGAAAGAAAATCAACCATAGCCCATCCGTGTACATAAGTTGATCTGGGCTGGGATCAGATCAAGTATTCCCATTACTTCTCTTGCAGTCCATCATCCTCACTGAGAGTCCTGATATATCAGATAATAAAAATTTTGTACATATTTGCATAGACCTGGCAACTGACTATCATTTCTTACCGTATGAGCTTTTATCCTTGGAGTACAGAATATCACCAACGGACTGGGAAATTCCACTTGTGATTTTACATCACGTGAATCACAAGGGCTGAATGGCTATCCCTGTTCGCGCCTGGAGGAGACCTAGGCTACGAACCGGAGATCTTCACCATGATATACCCCTAACAAGTTCAAATGGAGAGTCTGAACTGCTACCAATAAAGATATCGGAGGTACCGCTTAGAAAAGCACTCAAGCAGAGACGGCCGAAGCTTGGCTTCAATGACTTACAGGCTGATCTTCGAGTAGGGGCCGGTGAGCATCAGCGCGGGGGCAGTCCATTGCAGTGACTTGAAACAAATCCTATTGTGCAGCTATATTTACTCTTTTGCTGCTCAATCTGACACGGCCAAAAGTCTTCTCGCCCACCATATTGGTGACTTCACCATGTCTGTCCAAAGACTGGACCGGAAAAGCGGCCAGGTCTACGAAGAACAGGCTATGGCTCCTGCTTTGTCATTCTCTATGGGCCCATCTTGGGTTCATGAGAGCCCATTCTGCTCGGTGGATCGAGATGCAAGAAACGAACGCGGCTCACCCTCGTTGAAAGAGTCTGCAATGGAGCAGCTGGTTCTGTGTGATCAGAGGAATTTGACGCCCGACTTGTTTCGTCATATTCCATGGCGTATTGCAAGCAGTCTGTGGGATTACCTTGGCAGACGGTGAGTGAAGACCTACTGCAGTCCTTCCCGAGATATGCTGTGCCGTAAACAATGCTGAGCCCAACGCAACGGTCTTCAGCCAGAGGAGGACCTTATATATGTGGAAATTGTTTGCAAAAGCGTACCCGGCCCAATTTCGAGGTGCTGCGAAATACCGATCCATGAGGATCAACCAGCCCCAGATGCCATTACGAGATTACTGGAGCGTAGTCGAGAGCAATTCTCTCAGCTGGCGATTGGTCTTGGCCCTGACTACCTCGTTTGGCCGGGTACCAGAGCTTGTGGAGATTGCTAATATCAAGAATCTCATTGCGCTGCAGATCGCTACACCACTGCCTGTAACGCCGATTTCAGACAACTCGGAAAGACATGTGGCTGGGCTGAACGATCGAATCGCACGAACGTGGAGTGAGCTGGCGGAGTCTTCAGGAGCATTTACCCATCTTCGCGTTCTCAGATTGTACTGTCAACCAGACCTTTCACCGGTGGGGATACGGTACCTCAGCGCTCTTCCAGGCTTGTGTCTTATAATCGCCCATGAGTGCCCTAATCTCAAATCCTGCCTCCAAGTTGAAAGCCTGGACAAAGCTCAGTGGGAAGTGACAACAATCCCACAGTTTGTGGCCACAGAAGGCGACCGACTGAATGGATCTGAGCCTCGAACACTCTATCAATGCTATCAGAGGAGTTTTCATCCCAGCAGTGATGGACAAGTGATAGAAGAGGGCATTCTAGACCGAGGCATACCTATTTTGGACTTTCGAATCGGCCAAGAAGTCAGTCAAGGCAGCAGTTCTTCTACAATATACTTCCAACGCAAAAAAGCCTCTGGGTCTAGACCTCCAGAGCCAGCACTGAAGAAGCTGAAGTTGGCAGGCCAATCGCCAGAGACGTCACAGCCGAGATCTGGACCCAGAAAGCCAGTGATGAGAAAGCGGGACCCGAGAGATCTCCGAGCTGTCTTAGGGGACTTTCTCTAATTTCTAATTTCGCATGATGTTGCAAGGAGCCTGAGATGGCAGCGGATAAGCGATTCGAAAACAGTCCTTCAATCTACGGCGTGGTCTTCGTGAAGGTGTGTCCAAAGTTCAAGTATTGCCTCAGGCGTCCAGGCATCAAGTTGCATGATCGGTATCGTTTGATAAGGTAAATTTCAGGTATGGTAATGACGCCGCAATGACACAGATACCCACTGCTGATTGGTCAGTTGCCGATGCCCAGCCAAACACCGCTGATTCCCCCGCAACGCCCCATGTTTGACACCGCCTCAAGTGACCTGAGGTGCTTGTCCACAGCAGTCTCGCCATTTCAGTTGGCTAAATGAAAAGCAGAAGTGCATCGTGACTGTCTTTTTTGAAAATCTAGGTAGCAAGAGGTAAGGCGGCTGTCTTTGATCTTCCCTCTGAGACCGAACTTGTCATCCGCCTCTATCCTTTCGGGAGGGTCAACTCCCCCGCCGGATCAGCCCCCTCCCCCGCGCTCAGCCATGGCGGACCATCAGAATCTTGAAGCTGTGGCAGACCACTCCAATGGATCCGCTATTGCATCGCCTCGATCTAGTACCGATTCACGCTCTCCGTCAACGCGTAGCCAGTCCCTTCGACTCAATCACTCGAATCATTCGCATCGCCAGAGCTTCAGCGAGAGTCTCCGAGCCGCACCTGGGTCTCCGCGCACACGCCGACAGCCGTCCTTCACCCAGGCAGCGATTCAGAGTCTGATCGATAATCCCCCTGCTCCGAAGGATGTGAACCCCGCATTTGCAGGCCGAGACTGGAGAGAAATCTCCATTGGGGAGCTTGTCAGGCCGGATGATTTGAGGTTTGTCGAGTTGGATACTGGAATTGAGGAAGCAACGAATGTAAATTGTTTGATCTTGCGTCTTTAGATTTTGATTTATGGTCCGATACATTCTGATGGCCTACAGACACTGATCGATTCCAACGCCCCGGTACTGTTGATTCGAGAGACCCCGCAACACAAAACAGCCGTGGGCACTTTCGATTACTCGGATCTTAATGCATACCTCCTACTTGCGGCCGGACTGACGCAGCCTAATGAAGAACTTCGCGAGTCGTATGAAGAACTGGCCAGGAAGGCAAGGGAAGGGCACAAAATACCATTGAAAGACGTGAAGGAGCTGAGCCGGAATGAGCCACTGACCACGCTCTCCGCATCGGCCAACTTGATGACGGCTGTCGAGACGTTTGGCGGCGGGGTTCACCGCGTGGTCGTGGTGGATGCACGCAAGGACGGGGAAGTGGTGGGAATCTTCAGTCAATTTCGACTGGTCAAGTTTCTATGGGAGAATGGCCGCAGCTTTCCCGTCATCGATCAGTTGTACCCTCAGTACCTCCGGGATTTGGGCATCGGGTCTCGCGAGGTGATCTCCATCAAGTGAGTGTTCCTGCTTTGTGTCTGAGAGCATATCTGACAGAGGATCAGTGGTGACAAGCACCTTTGCGAAGCGCTGCAAATAATGAACAGCGAAGGAATCTCGTCCATTGCCGTGGTTGATAACCATTCCAACGTGGTGGGCAACATTTCTACAACGGATGTCAAGGTAATGCCATTGATTCCCCAAGCAGATCCTCAGCTGGCTAAAAAGGGTTGCATAGCTCCTCACGAGATCGTCATCGCTGCCTCTTCTCTACAACACCTGCATTCACTTCATCTCGTTGATCCTATCCGCAAGAGGCCTCATGGAAGGCAAAGACTCGTTTCCTGTGTTCTATGTGAACCCCGGCTCGACTCTGGCGCACACGGTAGCCAAAGTGGTGGCCACCAAATCTCATCGGTGAGTGCTACGTTGCTAAGCTTAAGCTGAAGGGCCTGCAGTTAACAGATGATAATGTAGATTATGGGTTACCGATCCCCTGTCGCCCTCATCGTCGGGACCACCTACACCATCTCATTCGAGCGTTCAGCTTCCTTTGGCGGCCAGCACCAACCCGACCCAGTCACCACCGCTGTCACCTCCCCCAAACACGGCCAACCTACCGTCTCCCAACTACAGCACTCCTCATCTTCCTAGTCCGCCGCAACCATTCATGAATGCGGCAGCCCTCACGCATCCCGCAGCGTCGGTGGGAGTGCCACACGCGGTGGCGCCGTCGATTCCAGCATCTGCATTACCCGGGGCCCGGTTGTCCGGTCGGCTCGTGGGGGTGGTGAGCCTGACGGACATTCTGAACCTGCACGCGCGGGCCAGCGGATTGAGCCCTGCTGATCCGGCGGAGAGCCGCAGCCGACGGCGACGGAGCAGCAGCTCGAGCGTTAGTGTGCGCAAAAGCGGGGATATCGGACGCGAGCTGTTTAGTCGGCGGGATTAGTGTGGTTCGTATTTTGACTGTGTGCCTTGTTCTTTTCCTACTGTCCCTACCAGCAACGTCGATTCATGTCAGGCAGCCCGAGAACTTGTTCTAGACAGGAAGATTGCAGGTGCAGGGAATTACGATAGCTATGATAGCATTGGTTGCACAAATCAGACAGACTTCGAGCAGGCCAAAGGCAAATGAGACTGGGCCATTGGAAAGTTGAACTTGAACTTGAATCAGATTGCACTCCCTAGACATGGTTCGATCAGACATCCCCACGGCATCTTCCGATTGAGTCGCAAGCAGCCAGCTGATTTGCCAGGCCAATTGTCCAACTCCACCGTCAGGTGTTTTCAAACTCTAATCATGTGTACGGACCACGGAGTAGGTACTCCAGTCACAGCGTTCTGTAGTTCTACTCCATGCCACTCTGCGTATCCAGTGGCGCACGGCCTACTCATCCATTGGATCGCTGATCCGATCGACCGCACCTGCACCGGTACTGACCAGCCTGGCCCTGCGTCTGTGCGATCGATCAACCAACCATCGATCCTGGTGGGCGCACGCGCTAGGTCCTCCAGATGTGCTAGTAGGTAGGTAAGGTAGTCTACTGCCTATCTTAGTCTGGTGATCGTCGATAGCCTCGAGGGTCAGTCTGGCCCGCGCCCCGTGCCCGACTGTCAACGGCCAGAGCGATATGGGCTTGGCTCGGGGCAAGTCCGTGCCTGTTGCCCAGCGTGGTGTGCTGTGTGCTGTAGTCTGGTGGAGTGTACCTAGTGGCCGCAAGCCGTAGGTACGCTAGGAGGGTGGCAACTGGCAACTGGCAACTGGCAACTGGCAACTGGCAACTGGCAACTGGCAACTGGCAACTGGCAACTGGCAACTGGTAACTGGTATCGCCGACATTGGCCGTGGGTGGTGTGGGATCAGTGATCGATTAATCCATGGAGCTGGCGATCTGCTCGCCTGGGACGTAATGCCTGTGGATTTCGCTTCTGGGCTTGGTAGAGTGCGAGTACTTGGAGCGATTGCTGAGGAAGGAATTGGTCAGATGTGAAAGTTGAGGAGGGCTACCTGAGAAACCAAGACCACCGGATTGCAACGCGTAAACGTCTGAAACCAGTCTTCCGATTGGATCTGGACCTGAGTTGGAAGTTAAAACTTGGGAGCGAGAGAAGAAGAGAGGAGATCAACGGGCTGATTTGAAATCGTTCCACTGCCTACCTGGCTCCACTTACTACAGTAGTCAGTAGTCAGTAGCTTACCTCGTGTGATGCAAGGCCATTAGACGAATTTCCGGTTTGAGTAATGAGGGGCTAACCACTACAAAGTAGAACCGTAAGGTAACTAGCCTCATACCTAGTCAACTTCTGATGATAGTAATTACGTTTATCACATGAGTGATTGATCTTGTGATGGCACGGCGACAGAGACTTGGTTACCAGGAAACTCAGGCCAAAAGGCACAGCGGGAGGGGACAAGGGCAAGGCATCAAGGCATCTACTCTTAGTACTCCGTAGCTGAAAACAGTTGCCCGACCGGTGGTCAGTGCGTAAGCTCTAGTGGGGCGGGCCAACTTACCATACCATAGTCCATAGTACTGTGTCTGTAAGTACCTACCTATTTGTCGTAGTGCTGTCTGCAGATAGACACAAGCATGAGAATCGCTGCACCTGCATATGCACTGCAGATCATATGCGCCTCAACTCCGGCGCAAGTGCAAGTGCAAGTGCAAATGCAACTGCAACGAGGACCGCCGAGCAAATGCGATCAGTATCCCTGACTGACTCAGCGCAGGGCCAACTCCCCACTTTTCCGAATCAGGAAGCGGCGATCCCACTCCATGCTGTGCACTTGCCCCATTTGCTCAAAGTTTATTTTCCTTTTCCAATAATTTCCATTTCCTTTTCCTTTTGCACTTTCGGACCCGCTGCAAGGTCCAAACCGCTTTAGACTCCAGAGCTTCAATCTAGCTAACTCTCTACAGAAAGAGTTGAGTTCAGAGTCAGACCTCGAGCAAAGGATGGATTGACAATGGTCTGTGCGAGATTGCTGATACGTACTTTGTTATCTGGGAGTAATAGATAGCTCTGGTGAAAGTATTTATGATGAATCTCATTCTTGCCCCTATCATCAAGTTACTGCTACTATGCTACTATGCCATTTTTACTTGCATAGTGCGACAGCTGCTATACTCTATTCCTTAGCAGATAAACAGCTAAACAGCTAAAGACAAGCTGAACACAAGCTCTTCTCCAAACTCTATTTCTCGCTTCCGGAATGCGGGGCCCTTCATCTTCAGGTTGCATACTAGTCGGTGTCTGCGTGTGTTTACTGTTTGCGGTAAAAACCCCATTGCTAAGTCTTCGTATGCTCTGACGTTCTTCTGTGCAGAGTTTTCCTACTACTCCATTGCATAGATTCTTCATCTCATGATAGAAAGTCATTTCTCATAGCCAATATACAGTACAGCGTGAACGCCAATGACCTGGGTATTTGATTCCCCCCTCTGACCGTCACCCTAAGTGCGTGCAGTAGCCAAGTAAAAGAGCCGAAAGATCAAAAGAAAACATAATACAGGAGCAAGTTAGGCCCTCGGAGCAACGAGCTGAAGTACAGAGTTAGATGACAAAAACATCCCAATTTAAGCGGTGGCCGTGAATTCGTCCAATGCAACGTAGTCGTCAAACCCGAAGGTCTCCCGATCTTGGATCGGTGCGTCGTTGCCTAATCCCCAAGCAAAGCGGCTGAACTCATCATAGTCAGGATCGAGTCCCTGGTGCGAAGAGAATACAACCTCGCCCTCCTTGTTCCCTGCCTCGAGCTCCAAATGCGCTGCGTCATTGCCCATCGAAGTGGGCGAGTGGGGCGTTCCAGGAGTTGCGCACAGATCGGGGGTCGACAGGGTCTCGGTGGAGACCATCTCCATTTTGGGCGAGCTCGACCCCGAAGCGGAAAATCTTGCTTGAGCCAGGAACTGCCGGTCGGGCTCTGACCGGACTCTAGTGTGATGTGACACCCGTCCGTAGGTGGCGTCAGCCAGAGTCGTGGTATCAGGGGCGGCAGGCACAACGGACGGGAGACCGTGCACAGGAATCTCTGGAGCCGAAGCCAGACGATCTCTGAACTGCCGTGTCGGAACACCGTTCCAGAATTGGGGATGCTGTTGCAGTTGCTCCTGATATTGTTGTGGTTGGAAGCCTGCCCAAGACGGGCGGAATTGCTGCGGGCCGGCCGCCTGCTGTTGAGGCGACGTGGGGGTCTGTTGAGCGGCATTGGCAAGGTATGATGGAATCTGAGTCGACGAGGAGCCGGGGACCATCTCGGGATACGACGCCTCGGGTGCCACGCAGGATGACTGTGGGCTAACGTTATACGAGGGGGGCAGCATGTAGCTATGATGATCCATCACCATGGGACTGGTCATTGCCCCCGTCGGCGTGCTCTCAGAGAAAGACGAACGAAGGCCGGATAGGTCCAGGCTCATCTTGCGCACGCCATTCACTGGACCGTGAGCGTTTGAGCTGGCAGCACGGCGTTGTTGAATGCCGTTGGTTCGGACGGCCAGCGCCGCCAGCAGTTGTCGGTTCAACTGCTCTTCGATGTGCAGGTTCTGCGCTTGCAGCATACGGATACGCTTCTCTTGGTAGCGCTCGTCAATTTCCTCATACATGGCCTCGCGTTCAACGATTTCTTTCGTGATGTGGAGGGCTTTCCCCGTGCGCTTTTTGTGCAGCATCGAGGCCCGATTGGCTGATTCCAGACGAGCATCTAAGCTTCGATCTTTGCGTCTGGAGGCAGCAATGAAGGCTCTACTGAAAAGTCAGTATTGACTCAAGTGTCAGGCAGGAGAGGAAAGCAGAACAAAGGCTTACCTTTCTTGGTTTTCCTCCCGAGACCGAGGGATGGGAGCGACATCCAGATCCAGATCTGGTGAGGCCATCGTGAAGGAGACTTGTAGATTGTAAAGAGTATAAGAAAAGCTATTTCAGACACAGATATAGTATAACATCGACGGTAACCTAAATACGCAAGACCTGCCTTCTGTTCCAAAAGAATCGGGAGGGCAAAAGGAACAGTATCTTAGGATGGAGAGAAGGAGAGAGGAGGCGAAGTGCTAGAATAAGTATGGAGAGGAAGAGGGAACAAACTGATAAACTTTGCACCCAAAAGGTATCTTCCGATCCCCTCTTGGGGGGAGGGTGGCAGGCAGCTGTCAACAGAGACGGAGCGAGTCTAGAGCGAGGACCCAAGGGTTTCCGGGGTATGGGAGAGTTTGGAACTTTGGATCCTTCCCCGTCGAGGCCACCAAGGACCCTCCAGTTGAGGTCTGGATGGCGCAGATGCCCGTATCCATGGAACCGGAGGAAAGTACGTACCCCCAAAGCCCATCTGTTGCACCATCCAGAGTTCCAGACAGACACCGGAGGAGCGTCTCTTCTCGTCCTAGGTAATTTCTCAGTATGTAAGTACTAGTACTTTGCGTTGGTAGTAGGCACGGGTGGGTAGTGTTCCGACGATGGAAGAGGCAAGGTTGTGTGCATAGTGCAGAGTCGGTAGCCACGGGTCGACGCGGATAGAGAAGCTGAGGACCGGGTTTTGCTTTCTTTGCCTCAACCTCGTTGACTCGAGCAGGAAGAATTTGTCAAGAGAAGCGGGGTCGCCTCGTCTGGGCGAGGGAGTGAGTGATACCTCGGAACTCATTTCCCTCAGGATAAGGCGAATCACAACAATCAGATTGAGTGCTTTTCTTCATTGAAGGAGTATCCTTGTCGGATTGTGTGATCTGCAGTGTCTCTGCACGAGCGAATCTCGATTGTTTTGAGTCTAGGCTCACCGTCTTGATGAAGCCTCATACGACCTTGGATAGAGTAGTGCGATAAGTACTACGCTCGGTTCTGCATGCTGACCACGGTGGAGAAGATCAGACACATCAATAGGAATCGATAATCCAATCAATCTAACTGAGCCAGCGAAGATAGACGAGGGACTTGAGCAAACTCTAAGAGATGATATTCTGTTTGATGATTGACGGGGAAAATACTGGCGGTTTCCGAGACCGAGCCATTGCAATAGCCTTAGGCACTACTACTGCCTCCTTCTATGCAACTACAGAGTACCTACGGAGTATCTACGGAGCACGGAGTACTTGCAGGGTCATGCAACGGAGGTAACTCAGGTAAGGTGGTAGAAGTGAGTGATTTGCAGAGTGATTTGCAGGCCCACACACCTGTAGCCAATCAGCATTTTTAGATTTACATGTATCAGTCACGTGACTGGAAACTTTTGCACCTTCGGTCGGCTTTGCGCGGCTATCTATGCCTACCTGCCTGATTGCCTCGCTGAATCGATCACGTGATAGATAGGCGCCCCAAGCCGCTGCCAGATCGAGGGTCGATCCTTCCCGATAAGGCAGTTCGATATAGACCGCTCCAGCCATGGATCAGTACATCCTCCATACACGGTACGGTACCAGTAGACTCCTCCTTCCTTAGGTATTATTCTAGGAGTGCACTCTGACTGTTGCATTCGCTCGAGCTTGTCTAATTTTGCTCCATACATCTGATGAGTACGTACCCACCACATGGATCCTATGCTCGGTACCAGCTACTAGCATAGAGCACGGACAGAAGAAACTTTGCAGATCAACGGCGCAATGAGTCTACTAAGTCTAGGTACATGCCAAACCAATCACCCTGCAATCTCATATCCTCATATCCTTCCAAGAGACCGTTCAACTCGCTGGTTCACCGTCAACCTACAGCCCGGATTCTGGACTATGTATGTACCTGCATCAGTCTCCTGCATGATGATCTCAAGGTGTTACGCTATCCAGGCGGCCAAGTTTCATGATCATCTGATGCCCGTGATCTGCGAAAAACTTCACAAAAGAGAGCAGCCCATCTTCAAGAACTGATATTAGATCAGCCCACCTCTGTGGCGGAGAATCTCCTCTAGCTATCAACGACCGCTTGTCACGGTCACTCCCATCTTTCGCCCGTGGTTGGAATGGACCGTCCGATTCGCCACCCCGAGGCACTCTCCAGACACTCTCCAGACAACTCTCCAGACACTCTGTCGGGCTGACCGTTATCAGGCACTTAACGGAGCTCTTCCTCTAGGCCATTCGCAGGCTTCAGTCTTCTGCCCCCTATCGCCCTGGAGCTGACGCTGTAGCTGACGAATATCTCTGGTTTCTTGCTTCTCGGGAATCGACCATTTTCACGTCTCACTTAGCCGATAGGTACACTCCTATTCTCCGAACTCCGTCGCGCCCCCACCCTAGGTACGGCCGAAACCAAATGTCGGGTCTGTGCCATCGCCACATCTGGTCCCTATCGCTACGGACTGCTAAGAGGCTTGGATTAAGGGCTAGACTGAACCTTCAGCCTTACGACTAAGGCTGCATCTATCCCTGTCTCGTAACCTGCGCACGGGCAATTTCTCGGCGTTACTCGTAAGTCCTTGGCCCTCGTCTATCAATGCGGACAATGTCAAAAGGAAAGTAAAACAACACTTTAGCCAACCGAGTATACCGCTAAAACTCAGCAACCAGCAGTCTGCTCTTCAGTCTCATTGGTAAGAAAGAAAGAGAATGGGGAGGAAAGACTGCTCAATCAGCCAAAAAGATCAACGATATGGACAATCAATGCTTGTAGGTGCAATGGAACCATTGAGTATCACAGTTCTCAAGTAGTCGAGAGACCACGGGAAAGGCGCAAAGGGAACGAAGAGACAAGAAGCACAAATAAAAAACATCTTGGGGATATCCATTACGAACTTGCTGGTCATCATTTCCATCCCCTACGCGATACCCAATGGTGGCACCATCCCTTGTTCTTCTTTTCTCTCCGCGCCTACCCTGTACGACACTCTAAACCGGATTTTGATCGAGCTGCCCTTGCCTGCATCGATTCCGTCCAGTAACATCTCCTGCTGAACTCCATTCGGCTGCAGCGGGGCGATATCACGTCCAGACTGCGGCCGGAGCTGCAATGTATAAGACTGTACCGCTTTTAGCATGACGACTTCATTCTTAGATTGTAAGTGATAAAAAACTGACCTTCTCTACGGCCACCTGAAAGTGCAGCTCATTCAGCGGTTGGCCGGTGGTGTTTGAGAACAGGGCTACCACGTGGATTTGCCGGGGCTGACTGGGATGTCGGCGTGCAACGAACTCGATCCGTAAAGACGAGTTCAACACTTGCACCTTATTATTAGTTGGGAGGGCGGTGCTTTCCGGCAGCGAGGAAGCAAAGTTCCACTCGTCATCTTCCTGTGCCTTGGCGCTGCTACCACTGGCAGCTGCGGTGTTAGGAGGACCAGCTCCCACCAAATCGAGGAGAGACGAAGAAGCAGCTGCGGGTGACTGGCTCGAAGGAGCCCCGGATGGGAAGGGACTGGAGGTACGAGGGCTTGCGGACACAAGAGATGCAAAAGGATCGGTCGCAGGGGGCGGTGGGGTCGCGGTCGCAGTCGGTTGCTGCGATGTCCGGGGAGCCGGCGTGGAAGACTGCGAGACCGGCCGGGACGAATTAAATGAAGCCATGATATCGTAAGAAGGCTTGAATCCTGCAGGGGCTTGTTGTAGTGGTGGGGTGGCAGACGCGGCCATGTTTCCTATTGCCCATCGTCAGTCAGTCAGATCTTGCATCATTCTATCCCTCAACGACACTGACCAGCTCCCAACGAGATACTTCCAGTAGGGACTGGCTCCTCTATCGACAAGCCAAGCAGGTCATTCTCCAAGGAGCTGCCGCCGGCCGCTGGCGGGGCACTGCCGTTCGAGCTCGGCTCCGGGTCGAAGTCGATCAAGGAGAGTTCGTTGTTTGCGTTCTTTGAAACCCCTGTCGTAGTGCCAAGAGTACCCTTGGGAATTCTAGATGCCGCATCGTAGTCGCCCTTCTTAACCAACTTGTAGCGTTCAATGGTGCGGTGAATGCTGTCATTGATCTCCAGCAGTTTATGAACAGCCTCTGGGTCATCCGACTCTTCCTCGCACATCTTCTGTATCTTTGGATGAGCACTTTGAAGCGCGCTCGCGAGTTCCTGTCCGGATTAGTGGCCGCAAACGTTCAGAGTCGCCCAGGCGCGGTGCTCACCTCAAACACGTCGCCTTCGGCAATTCGATCGCCCGGCTTGTGGCTCTGTAGCATCTCCTCTAGGATCTTGGCCTTCTGCTGCACCTTGGCCACTTCCTCCGCTGCCTTGGCCCGGTAGTCGGTCTTGTGTCTTGTGTCGAAACCGGCCATCACCTTCATCAACCGATTGGCTTCCTGCAGATCTGCTGGCGTGCCTCTGCGGATCAACTCCTGCAGCTTCGCCGATTGTGCCTCCCGCTCTTCCTCCTCCATCTCCTCAGCCGAACGCAGATTCTGTTGCTCATCAAAAGTCAATCCTGCTCAAGCTATTCTCGGGAACCAGGAAGGTAAGGACGTACATCGCTTGGGTTCAGGACAGCGGCATCTTCATGACGGATCTCAGGAAACATGTAGCCCTTGTATAGCAGTAGGCGGTGCATGTCGCGAATATGGCCCAGATCGTCCTTGTACCTCGACGTCTGGCAAATAGTCTGCCGCCATTCTTCGATCGACTCCAGGATCCGGTGCTGCACCCGGGAGGGCCGCATTGGCGGCCTTTCCGGGAAACGACGAACCAACTCATTGAGAAATTCCTTTGTACTGATTTGGAGGTGGAATGGATAACCGCAATTTTTGACGCAGATGTCGAGAAGCTGTTCACAAGCAACCGTTGTCAGCCCCGCACCAGCTCCCTCCGCCAGCCAACGAAACCACCTACCGCTAACGCCAGCAATGCGACATTTTGATTCCGGGAATTAATCAGACGGACAATTTCAAATGCTGCCTCTCGAGGACTGTGACCCATAAGAATGCGCCTCGTACGTGTGAATCAGAATTCCGACCGGCGACTCACGCATTTCCT